ATATAGGCTTATCCGGGTATTACACCATTTGATGGTCTGGCTTCTGGTGTTTCTGCATTGGTTCGACATCTTCCTGCTGGGAGCCCTTCCATATATTATTGCGTACACAGTCTTGTTGAAAAGGCCAATGTGTTATGCGGAGAAGTTAAGAATATGAAAGATTCTGAATGGTGGAAGAACTGGCAAGGAGACTCAGAGCCCTGCAAGAAAATCATAGAGCTTCTTATGCAGCTGATATCCTTGGTGGACATACAGGCATGTGAAAATCATTGGTTCTTTCATTATTACTCTGGATGAGATTTAACTAGGAGTCAAGGATATGTAATGCATAATTGTGATACGAGGTAACTGCCTTGTTATTTGTTAGATCAAGAAAGAAATAAAATAAAGGACATGGTGTGAAGAAACCTTAAAAGTTGAAACTTGGATGAGATGGACTCATTGCAATATCGATTATAATTTTATACCCACAAGCCTTTTTTGGTTATAACGTTTATAACGATGGCATAGTGATAACCACTTTTCGTTGCTCATGCTAATCTCTTTGATCAATTTCAAGATTTCTTTGGTTTGTTTGTGTAGGTACTACCAGAATTGATGAAGCAGTTGGCACGGCTAATTATACAATTACCAAAAGATGGCCAGAATATGGTACTCAATGAATTGTATGCCCATGTTGCAGAATCTGATGATGTAACCAGAAAGCCTACATTAGTTTCATGGTTACAATCGCTATCTTACCTCTGTTCTCAACCCACTACTACAAACGAAGCATGCACAGAGGTTCCAAGTACAAATTCATTAATCTTGCAGAATGTTACTGCACGATTATGATCGATTAAGGTACCAAAATTTCTTAAAGCTATATGCATTGTATTCTGTTTGTTCATGTCAACTTAGTTGTATATCCCCTTGAAATACCTAGGAATGAAACTAGGAGCATAGGGATTATTCAGCACACTAAATCCGTTGCCATTGCAATGCACCCTTATTATTAACTTATTAAGCATTATTACTCTGGCGACAAAGCTTAACATGTAGCGTATTTCAGCTCTAAAATTGTTTTGTATGAATAGTTATAAATGATTATTACAGATAAGTATGTAATCAATTGCCTTAGAATCTGATTTAGAAGTCAGATATCCAGGTTTTGGATTAGTGAATGTAATGTGTTCGATGAATTGACTCACTGAACCTGATAAACAGTGAGAAGCAACAGAGGAAGTACTATGTATGTACTAGTAACAGATTAGGGATTTTTGGTGGTTTGATTACAACAAATTTCCGGCTGCCTTATGTCCGGTTGAGAGCAAAAACAATATCAATGACCATTTGAATGGTGTAATATTAAAAGCATAATTAGTTTATTGTCTAATATGCCAGTTATTAACATTGCCACATTGGACATTTGCTGTTTAGTAGTGACAGACTGACTGTAAATATATTATGTATCATGCCCTAGTTAAAAACGAAAGCATACAGAACTATGGAATCCCAAATTTGAGATGGAAATCAGAGACTCATTTGTCCCTTATTATATTTTGTAGGTTTGTCTCTTTTCTCTGGGTTTAGCATGTTCTCCCTAAATTTGATACGACACAGATTAGGATTATACTTTGGGGCTCCCAAGAGCATTTATTTTTGAAAATCATGCATTTGTAACATCAGAAAAATAATATGTCTGCATTCGCATAATGGCATATAACTTAGGCAGCAGCAGACTAGATAAAAGTCTTCGGGCTGAGCATGCATACTATAGGGTAATGTGAAAGTCTACAAAGCATATTAGAATAGTTGAAAACTATGAAGTATTTATGTCTAAACCGTGGAACTGAGCTATTGCTTCAAGCTCTCTTTTATTTTGCTCAACTCTTTGATGAAGGGTGATTGTTGGTTTGTAGGAATACAATACAGATATGAACTGGAATGTCATGAAGTTGCTGAGTTTTGTCCACGGTGAGCCCCCAAATGTCTCCTCCATACCCATCTCATTTAATAAAACCCGTCTTCTAGCTTCCAATCAAAATTATGGATTAGTGATCCCAGTAATAAAGGGACCATTCGGCTAGCCAATGGCAACCCAGGACAGATTCGACAGCCAGCATTAAATGGAATCAGCTCAAAATCACGGCCCTTGACATCAATATCTGATCCCACAAATCTCTCTGGCTCATATAAAGTGGGAGTTTCCCACAAGGTTGGATCTCTGCCGATGGCCCATACATTTATCAGTACTTGTGCGTCTTTGGGGACATTAAAGTCAAAGTGTTGTACATATGTATCTGCTTTTTTACGCAGCAGAAGTGGCACTGGTGGGTGCAGTCTCAAGGTTTCCTTGATGATTGCTTGCAAGTACAGAAGGCGAGGAATGTCAGTTTTTTCTACTAAATTTCCCTTTCCAATGATTTCTTGGTGCCCCATTTGTGGTTTCTATAGCTTTTCTGGGTTGTGCAACAATTCTGCTATTGCAGAAAATGGGGTTGACATTTTATGTCAATTCCTGCAGAAAATAAGTCCTGCAGAGAAGAGACGTCAATTATTTTTGAAGTTAAGCTACAAAAATATCTCAATATAGTTTATTGAGAGAGATACAGCAGATGACCAGGTATCATTGAAAGTTCAATTTTCTCATTTTTCTTATGATTAATTCCCTGCAGTGCGTCTAAAATATAGTTGCCTAATGCCTTCTATTGATCCTGAAGCCTTTCCCCTTGCAACCTTTGGTTTATCATAATCTTGAAGAAATCCATCAGCTTTCCTAAAGTGAACACTTGTATGCCGTCTCATGCCCTGTATGTCGATCTTTTGCAGGAAAGGAAGATAGTCTGCAAAGTTGGTTTTCCCAACTTCTTTCAACAGGCTTCGTATTGTCTCACAAAATTCATGAGCAATTTCAGAACTAGGATCACTCATATCAACTGTGAAAAAAGTATTCAATAGCAAGTCGAGGGTAGTCACTGCCTAAAAAAAAGTTGAGGGTAGTGGTGAATGCTGCTTGGCCGATGTTTACTGCTATACGATCATCTCTACTCTTCTCCACTTGGAATATACAGTAATAACTTTGATCTTATGTCTTCGAAGTCTTTGGCTAGTATCCTGTCTGCTAGAAGAGAAAACTTGGGAGTTGTATATTTTGCGTAGGGTTTTCCAAACACATGATGTTGGGCCTGCTGGCAACCAAGCTACAGAATTTTCATGGTGGTTGAGTGCACGAATAACATCAATGTGGCGGCTGAAAAAGAAATATCATTCCTTTGAAGGGCCTCTTTTGCCACAACAGCTGAAGAAATGATCACTGTAGGCACTTGGCTGAGCCATATTTGCTGGCAAGTTTTGTCAAGGAGGCATGTGGCTTGGAGCCAAGGCTAAAGAGGTTCCGAAGATCGGTGAAGGCGACGGCCCTGGTGGTAGTTTTGATTCATTGCCTTAGCAAAAGATCAGAGAAGGTGAACTGCAACCCATGCTAAAACAAGACACAACACAGAATTCAGGCTATCCATATTCCATAGCACCTCTAAAGTACAATATTGTTTTTACAGTATAGTTTATTATTTGACTTGGTACAATGGTGTGGTACCTGTGTTATTTTTTATCTGCCCCCCTCAGTTAACTTCGAAAATGACTAAAACCACAACCTGTTATAAAATTCCATTACTGTCAAAAGTACATGCTAACTCCGTTACTATGGACATGAATCTTGGGAGAAATTAATTTGTATTTAGGAATGGAGAGGGTAAATGGTTTGTGGAACTTCTTTTGCGCATTCTCCTCTAACCATTAGGACTTAGGGCTTGTTCTCTTCAACTTAAATTTCAGTTCACTTCAGCTTAGCTCAGCTTTAATCAATTTAGTTCAGTTCAGTTCAATTCAGTTCCTAATTTCCTTCTTTCATAAACAATTCATTTTAGTTCAGTTTAGGTCCAATTAGTTCAGTTCAACGTAGTTCAATAAATCAGAATAGACCCTTAATTTGTGGTTTCTGATATAATCGTTGACATATCTTCTTCTTCTTTTTTTTTTTTTTTTTTTTTTTTTTTTTTTTTTTTTTGAGGAATACCGTTGACATATCTAATTGAATTAATGAATAATGATGGCCATTGAGTCATTTGGTTCAAGTGCGAGTTGGCTAGGTTGTTGGGTAGGATCCATTCAGATTAAATTTTTGGTTCAAGTATAAGCCAGATTGGACCCATTAAAGTTAGATCTGCCTGTATTGAAAATTTTAGAGTTATATATACTTTTGTATGGAACACATTAGTATCATATATTTAGGGAAAAATTGTCATATATAATACGAAGTACAACTTTTGAATGGTTGAATACTTGAATTTAAATAATACAATCTTATGATGAAAAAAATACAACTGACAAAACTAAAAATAAATTAACATTTTTTTATTAATTAAATGTAGATGGCATAACTTTTGCTATAATTATAAAAATGTCATGCGGACTGGATAATTTTGTTGATTTAATTACGATCTTGTCATTTGATAAACGAATTTTATTGATAAAATAGGGCTCTCCCCTTTGATTATTCTTAACATTACAACCTTTTGGGGGTCTCAATTTTAAACCGGTCAAAACCGGATGTAACCTAGTGAACATGTTAATTATGACACATGTTGCTCTATGATTGGCTTTAAAAAATTAATTAATTTTTTTTTCTTTTTTCCCTCCTCTCATCCAACATCACCACTCCTCTACCTCCGATAGCCCCTCTCCCCATCCAAACCACTGAAAATACTCCCCTCCCTAGACTGGGGTTGTTAAACGTCGCTCCCATTTTACAAGGTAACACTCACATTTTGACTTGAAGTTCCAATTTTACCCCTAACATTTAAATACGGTTTTTTTCACTATACGACTCACATTCTCACTCTCTTACCTCATTCACTATCTCTCTAACTCTCAAACTCTCTAAAAAACTTGAAACTCTAAATCTGAAATTTTTTTTGTTAATAAAAAAAAAACAACAATCATAAAAAACACAAAAAAGGATGGGTGATTCGAGGCGAATAAGGCTTACATTCGGAGGGAGGAGTTTGGGCGGCGGTGGAGGCGGAGGCGGCTTCGACGGCGACCAGGTAAATTTTTTTTTTTAAAACGGAACCTCCAGCTTCCGCCCAAATTTTCCGGAAATTCCAAGGAGCTTCCGCCTGAAAAATCCGAAACCTCCTTGGAACTTCCGGAAATTCTGGGTGGATCTAACTTCCGCCTAAAATTTCCGGAAGTTCCTAGGAGGATCCGGAAATTCCAGGCGGATCCTCCCAGGTAGATCCAGAATTTTTGGGCGGAAGTTCCGGTTTTTAATTTTTTTTTTCCGTGAATAATATGCTTTTTTAATTTTTTATTGTTAATTTAATTTTTTTTATTATGTTATTTTTGTAGTTATTTTGAAGTGTTATCTTTTTTTTAGCATATTTTGTAGTGTTATTATTTTTTAAAATATGATTAGTATTATTATTATTATTGTGATATTAGGGTTTTTATTATTATTGTTATTATGGTTATTGTTGTTGTTAAATTTATTTTTTGTTGTTGTTGTTGTTATAATAATATTATTATTATCGTTATTAGTAGTACTATTATTATTATTTTTAATTATGATTAGTATTATTGTTGTTGATATTAGTGTTATTATTATTGTTATTATGGTTATTGTTGTTAATTTCGTAGTGTTATCTTTTTTTTTTTTTTGAAGCATATTTTGTAGTGTTATTAGTAGTACTATTATTATTTTTTAAAATATGATTAGTATTATTATTATTATTATTATTGTTGATATAAGGGTTTTTATTGTTATTGTTATTATGGTTATTGTTGTTGTTAAATTTATTTTTTGTTGTTGTTGTTGTTGTTGTTGTTATAATAATATTATTATTATTGTTATTAGTAGTACTATTATTATTTTTAATTATGATTAGTATTATTGTTGTTGATATTAGTGTTATTATTATTGTTATTATGGTTATTGTTGTTGTTGTTAATTTTATTTGTTGTTGTTGTTGTTGTTATTATGGTTATTGTTGTTGTTGTTAACTTTATTTTTTGTTGTTGTTATTATTATTATTGTTATTATGGTTATTGTTGTTGTTAATTTTAATTTTTTTGTTGTTGTTATTATGATTATGATTGTTGGTGTTGTTGTTTTGATTATTGTTGTTGTTGTTATTATTATTATTATTATTATTATTATTATTATTATTATTATTACTAAAATCGGATTTTGTACTTATTTTATGTAGATCGAGGGTTCTGGTGCTCGACATGCAATATCACGACGTCTGAATGCGTCTGTTAGGAGACAGTCATCTCGTTCAGCACCGCTTCAACCCGAGCAGCAATACGGGTCTACTAGTGGTTGGTCGGGAGACCCACAATCTGGTAGTAGTCGACCCTTGTACTCTGCAAATGGAGCACCCATATCTGACAAGGAAGACGAATGCTCGGCTAGTCATGCTAATGGTCGTGATGAAGAACCGGACCCTCGGGATTACCATACGGTATATAGGGGTCAATTTGGGAGATTTGTTGGTAGTGGATCGAGTCAGCCTACTACTAGCTCTGCAGAGGCATGGTTAGTGCAGGAACCGATGCCGGATGGTCCTGAAGATGGGACTGTTATCCCTAGTTTTGGTGGTCACGTGGCACGATATATCTGGATCGAGCAGGAGCATAGTGTTTTGCGCTGTTTGAGTAGGACAAAGTTATGTTCTGACTTGTTTACTTGGCGAGGTCGTCAATCAGTGGAGGACCTCGGGGCGATTGATGCTAGTTGGTTGTCTCACTTGCCCGGCCTGATGTTTAAAAGACTTGATTGGCCGCTGATTTCTGCTTTTGTTGAGAGATGGCAGCCAGATACGAACACCTTTCATATGCCATTTGGGGATATTACGATCTTGTTGCACGACGTATACAACATACTTGGGTTGCGTGTCGAAGGCAATATGATCACCACTACTCCTAGCACGGACGTGTTACGGGACGCGTGCTCGATCACCATGGATATGACTCTAGATGATTTGTCTGAGATTTGCGGCACAAAGACGATTTGGCAGGGTAGTGGGGTGTTGACTGATAAGATTTTTGAGTCGACATTGGCGGTTGACCGGGAGTTCTTGGGGTTAGTGCTTGGAGGTAAACTGTTTGTAGACAAGAGTGGTAACCGTACACATCCTTCCTTCCTCCACGAGCTATGTTATATGGATGTCCCTATTAACGAGTATGCTTGGGGAACAGCTGCACTGGCTTACTTGTATCGGCAACTGGGCACGACATCACGGAAAGGTGCTGATTCGATTGCTGGTTGTCTCACGCTTCTGCAAGCGTGGATTTACGAGTACTTTCTGTGCTTTCGACCACAGTAGGGTACCTTGACCCGGGACCTTCAAATGCCTCGTGCGTCTGCTTGGGATGTTAGACCGGGATGTCCTAGCAAGAACCTGGAGCGCCTGTTATCTTTTCGTACTAGAATTGATGCGCTTACTGACCGTGAGGTGAACTGTTTACCGTACGGAGCTGATCTTGCATTACGAGTGTCCCCTACTTTATTCATTGGCTGCATCCAGTACCATAACATCATTGAGTCGTACATTCCTGATAGAGTGGTGCGACAGCTTGGTTTCGTGTAAGGCATTCCCCGCGAGATCATCAGGCCAGAGAAGGTCAAGAGGCCGACTAAATTGAAGATGTATCGGGTAGACTTCCCGACCGAGATGACAGATGTGATGTGGAAGAGGTTTGTCCCTGGGGTATCTCATAGTGTAGTTTTAGGTGCCCTCACCAGGCTTAGTGTTGCAGCTCCTTCGGTTGCGCTTGGTTACATGCAGTGGTTGTACAGGTTTTCTCACCTGCGGGTATCTCCAGGTGCAGGAGTTACAAGCAACCTACCTGAGCGGACTAACACTGATTATGTAAGTATTTATGCTTATTATAATATTAACAATGACTTCTATGAATTTTTGTGTATATAATATGTTATTGTTTGATTTGTAGTGGATGTGTCGGTCCATGGAGATTCACCAAAGAGCACTGGCTGAGTATCCTGAAATGTCGAGTGAGACTCGGACAATGACTGAGCAGCTTGTATTTGATTGGAAGTAAAAAATGGGACTTTAGATTATTTTGATTAGAAGTCGTGTTAGTGGTTTTAATTATTTGTTGAACTTATTTTTTATTTTATTTTTTTTTAAATGTAATGTATAAACTGGACACTTATTTATTTTTATATTTTATGTTTTGTTGCATATCATGTTAGATTAAAAGCAAGTACATTTAAAATTAATTTCATAATTCTAATTTTCTTACAAATGTTCAAAGTTAGTGAATGTACATTACAAACTACCTAACTAATGCATCCCACATGTCCCTTCTAAATTCATATTGTTGATCTCATCCATTAACACTATCCTCGTGGTGTTCAGTCCACCAACCGGTGATCGGCGGGAGAGGTGAATCAGGTACAAGGTCAAGACAGATGAAATGTGATCCACCAACTGTAGCAATCACAAACTCTCGACTCGGTGTCCGAACCCCGTTGCGTGCCCTCAGCGGTAAGACTGTGATGTATGGGTAGTAGACAGTTGGTACTAGGCCTACCCTGAGACAAATCAACATTGCGTTGAATCACGTAGCAATTGGAAATAAATATTGAATTGTAACCATCCAATGCCGCTCCCCGACAGCCCCACCATCCCATCGAATACGCTCTACGTTCATCCAAAGTCGTCCAAGCCTGTAAATCCGTTCGTACAAATCAGGATGACCGGCGATCTCGTTCGCTATTGTTTCCCGAGCGTCAAACCACAGCGCCTGATCGCCAAAGAAGAAGTCGGCGACACAACGAAAGCCACAGTTCCCATCACCAATGACATCCTTCCAAGACGAAATGTACGGCAACATTGGGCCTGGAAGCAAGTTCAAATACCTGCATTGACTAATGTCACTCGATTCTACAACACAAAATTTAAAGATAAATTATTAGTAAAGCTACAAGTATTAAGTTTACATATATTAATATTACATATATTATTCAAAATCAATAGAATTTTAATATTACCTGGTTGTGGGTCACCACCACGTTGAGTGTGTTGACGGTTCACATGCTCGAAATAACTTCGATCACGCCTGGTTGTCATTGTTCCTCGGTTGACCACGAGTGTTGAGGTTGACAAGTGGTTCTTTAAGGTGTGTATGGTCCGGATGTAGCTCCTCTTCAATGATTCGCGTTACATTTCGACGTACGGCCGGGTCACTTTCCATGACTTCATCAATTTGGGATCGAAAATGTGCAGCCTCCTCAGTCGAATCATTAACCACTTCAGGAATGTTAACACCTTCACCAATAACCAGTGTCTTCCAGAAAGAATGAACTTGGCTGCTATACAATCCTGTCTGTGCAACTATCGAATCATGTATCTAGCAAGCACATGGAAGACCATGGGTCACACGCATAGCACATCCATAATGTTCATAGACCTAGTAACTCAAATCCCGCATCCTTTTCGGCTCGTTATGCAGCTCTTTCAAGCAATGTTGAGACACTTTTCCATTTATACGTGACAGTGGCAATTGTCTATACATCTCACCAATTTTAGACCTTGATGCCTCCAACTCATTACGAATTAGTATGATTCGATTACCGATATGACAATGGACTCGGGCCCATACGGTATTCAAAGAACCTGCCAATGATTCAAATTATTAAATACATTTTAATTTTTTTTTATTATATTTGCAATTACATAACAACGAGAACAACTAATAAAATAAAACAAATAACCTGTGGATGATTCAAACCAAGTTTTCATTGCTGAATGTTGGCTCTCAACTCTACAGTTGGTGGTGTTACCAAAGTGAAGAACCTGGTTTGTCCAATATTTCACAAATTTCTCCTTATGACAAAGCCATGTTCTCTGAACATACTGAATCACTGCCGGATATTTTCCCCACCTCACTTGCATGGTAGCTAGAGCATGATCATACTCCGCCTGTGTTGTTGCATTCACGATTTTGAACCATTTGCCATTTCTAAAACTGACACCAACCTTCTTGTTTCCGAACATCTTCATCACCTTAGCCTCCACATCTCTGTTGATGTGCCATATACAGAGTAAATGTGACGTCCCTGGAAAGACTTCTCTCAAAGTCGCACATAGCCCAAGATCACGGTCTGAAATAAATATAGATGGCTCTTTATCAAACCCAATCAACTCCCTTAATCTCTGCAACACCCACCGATAGCTATTCGTGCACTCGTCGCGCATGAAAACATATCCAACTAGAAAATTCTGGTTTGTCGGTGTCACACCTACTACCTCAAAGAAAGACATGTTATATCGATTGGTCTTGTAAGTAGAATCCATACCTATGACATGTGGGTATGTGCGGAGTATGTTGACCATGATCGGGTGCACCATAAATACATGTTGCAAAACGTTGTGATCATCGTTCGTGACCCAGTAAATGTATTTACTCTCTCTCGCCAGATGAAGAAATTTCTGAACAACTCCTCTTCCTTCGAACATCTCCATCCTGAAGTCATTCCGGCAATTGTAAATGTGTCGGATGTTTGGATGATCATCAGGAAATTGCTCGGCAATAGTGGACATGATGTTACAGGGCGCAACCTTGGACTTTGTCATGTCCCGCACAACCTGTTTTGCACCCGGACTCAATCCGCTCACTTTACGGTGACCCTCTTGGTACAGAATCATTGGGTGGTTATGTGTCCCGGTGTGATCATTTTTCGCAATGATCTTCCAACTGTCGGTGCTGAATTCATAATATATCTTGATGTAGAATGGACAACCAATAGCTTTGGTTTTGGTGTCCTTCCGTATCGCGTTCTCCAAATCTCTCGGCTTGCTCCTTCGTGACCGATCACATCGCAAATACCGATACGGTCGACCATCTCTGGTTTTGTTATAAGACGATTTCACCAAAATAAATCCCAAATTTATGGAAACACCATCAGCTTATGTAACTGCATCGTCAAATGTTGGAAAAAACGTATCCGTGACAAAATTCCCACTATAATTCACACCGTCACCGCCTTCCTCGGATTCCATATCCTATACAAATTAAACATAACATGGTTTATGTCATAATAATAATAATAATAATAATAATAATAATAATAATAATAATAACAATAACAATAATAATAATAATAATAATAACAATACTAATAATAATAATAATAAAAATAATAATACTAATAATAATAATAATAATAATAATAATAATAATAATAATAATAATAATAATAATAACAACAACAACAACAACAACAACAAATACAAAACAATAACAATATTAATAATAATTATAAAAATAATAATATTAATATTAATAATAATATTAAAATAATAATAAAAAATTATAAAAACAAATACAAAACAATAATACCATAACATTAATTACTAAATAATAATAATAATAATAATAATAATGTTACAAAAAATAATCATATTACTAATAATCATATTAATACAAAACAATAATAATTACATTAGTTATCAAATACTTAATCACAACAACAATCACAAGACCACGAAAAAAAACAAAAAAAAAAATTAATTAACATTCAAAAAATAAAATAACGTAATTAACATTTTTTTTAAAAAAATAAAATAATAAGGGACAACCGCCTAAAATATCCGGATGTCCTAGGTAGATCCGCCTAAAATTTTCTTATCTACCATGGAACATCCGGATTTTTCAGGCGGATCCCTACTTCCGCTTGAAATTTCCGGATGTTCCATGGTACATCCGGAAATTTTAGGCGGATCTACCTAGGACATCCGGATATTTTAGGCGGATGTCCTATTTCTAGAAAAAAAAATATAGAAAACTTACAGAATGTTCCGACGCATTCTCCGGCGTACGAATGTTCCACTCGCCGTCCATGACCCAAGACCCGTCAGAAAATTTTATGATTAATTTTTTTTTTAAATAAAAGAAATTAAGGTGGTCGTGGGGACCGATTAAGTGGACTCGGGATATGGGATAGCAAGGTCGTAATGTGAGGGGAGCGTTTCATGTAATGTGTCCAAATGGGGAACAAAGTCCTTTTTATAACACAAATTGCATAAAGGGCATATTTGTCCATTCAAGTCAAAATGGGAGCGTTACCCTGTAAAATGGGAGCGACGAATAGCAGTTCAGCCCTAGACACTTCCTCAAATCTATTTCCTATGTCAAAACCCCCTTCCCTTTTCCCCACCCAAAAAATCGCCCTTTCCCCTTCCTTAGCTCGAAAATAGTCCCCTCCCTTTCTTGAATGCCTTCCCACTTACCCTTCACTAGCCCCAAGCCCCTCACCAGCCTAAAACCCTCACCCCACAACTCCACAAGGCTCAAAAAC